TCTCAAAAAAAAAAAAAAAAAAAAGAAAATATTTTTAATGCCTGGGCGTGGTGGCTCACACCTGTAATCCCAGCACCTTGGGAGACCGACTCGGGCAGATCACGAGGTCAGGAGATTGAGACCATCCTGGCTAACACAGTGAAACCCCATTTCTACTACAAATACAAAAAATTAGCCGGACATGGTGGTATGAACCTGTAGTCCTAACTACTCGGGAGGCTGAGGCGGGAGGCTGAGGCAGGAGAATGGCTTGAACTCAGGAGAGGGACGTTGAAGGGAGCCGAGATTGCGCCACTGCACTCCAGCCTGGGCAACAGAGAAAGACTCCGTCTCAAAAAAAAAAAAAAAATCTGTTTTTAATTTAGTGAAAATGATAATGCTGCTTTACTATGGGGTGCAGCAAAAGCCATACTTTAAAGGGAAAATGTATGTATTCCTAAGTAAGAAAGGCTGAAAATCAGGCCCGGCAAGGTGGCTCACATCTGTAATCCTAGCACTTTGGGAAGCCGAGGCAGGTAGATCACTTGGGGTCAGGAGTTTGAGACCAGCCTGGCCCACATGGTAAAACCCCATCTCTACTAAAAATACAAAAAATTAGCCAGACGTGGTGGTGGACACCTGTAATCCCAGCTACTCAGGAGGCTGAAGCAGGAGAATCACTTGAACCTGGGAGGCAGTGGTTGCAGTGAGCTGCCACTGTACTCCAGCCTGGGCAACACAGTGAGACTCCATCTCACAGAAAGAGAAGCAAACAAACAAGAAAGAAAGAGAGCAGGGAAGAAGAACCATGATCCAGAGAGATTAAATCAACTGTCAGCAGCTACTCTGTCTCCTGGGACAAAGGCTCTGCAACAGACTGCTCCTAGAGAGACAGACTAAATCAGCATCGCAGCCCGACCAGTGGCACCCCCTGCCCTGCTGACATCACAAGCAGAATGCTGGGGTTGGTCAAGCTTGGATTATGACCTCAGGGAGCAAAACTGCAGGCAGCCTTCAAGGAGGGAAGACGCCTGGATAGGGAGATAGCAAAACATCAGCCAAAGGGAAAGGTGAGGAGGCGGCTATCAGACCCCAAAAGTTGCAAACCTCTTGGGGTGTGGGCACAATGGACTGATGGGGACCCTCCCAGCATCTGGAGAGTGGGGCTGGCACAAGGGCCAGGTGCCTGAGTGCCCAAGGTTCGTTTTCCTGTTGCCACAGGGCAGCCAAGCATCCAGCTCTCCCTGACATGCAGAGAGTTTCCCGTAAGTACTTAGGCTTCTAACTCTTCCTCCAAGGAAGCAGCTCTTTCCCCTTGTCACAAGGTAACTTCCTTCTGCCTGTCAGCACTCTTATGTTCCAGAAATCAGGACTGGAACAAGAAGAACAGTCTTTATTGTTTTTAAAACTGAGTCTTGCTCTGTGGCCCAGGCTGGAGTGCAGTGGCACAATGTCAGCTCCCTGCAGCCTCCACCTCCCAGGCTCAAGCGATTCTCCTGCCCCAGCCTCCTGAGTAGCTGGGATTACAGGTGCCTAGCTAATTTTTGTATTTTTAGTAGAGACGGAGTTTCACCATGCTGGCCAGGCTGGTCTCAAACTCCTAACCTCGGGTGATCGGCCCGCCTCGGCCTCCCAAAGTGCTGGGATTACAGGCATGAGCCACTGCACCCAGCCCACGATCTTCAATTTATGTCCCCCAAGTGGGTTGGTCAATCACAGTCCCTGCCTGCCATGGGCAGACAGCTGCTACTAAGAGGAGAACTGGAGAACTTCCTCAATGCCCCCCGCCCCGCCCTGGTCTCGGCTTCTGCATGGCTTTGCTCTGTCTTCCCAGGGCCACTACAGAACGAGGACCAAGGCCCAGCACTGCAGCCCCCTGTCCAGCCCTCGAGACCTCCCCAAGTCCAGCTCCCGAGGAGGAACGACAGCAATCTCCGCATGCTTGAGGACCAACTCCTCTGTCCCTTTTGCCGAGAGGTGTTCTGCAACCCGGTCACCATCACCTGCGGTCACAACTTCTGCATGAGCTGCCTCCAAGGTTTCTGGAACCACCAGGCTGCCATGGGTGAGAAGCTCTATTGCCCCCAGTGCCGAGAGGGCTACCCCTCCAGGCCCTGCCTCTGTAAGAATGTCATTCTGGGGGAGATGGTGGCCAGCTTCATCCAGGCCAAGGGCCAGGCCTCAGGGTCCTTGTGGCCCCTGGCTCGGTCCCAGGACGTGGCCTGCGACTTCTGTTCCACCCCAAAGCTCAAATCTGTCAAGTCATGCCTGCAGTGCGTGGCCTCCCTGTGCGAGAAACACCTGCGCAGCCACTTCGAGGACCAAATGTTCAAGGACCACCAACTGCTGGAGCCCGTGTGGGATCTCAAGAACTGCTTGTGCCGGAAGCACCACAGTCTGCGGCAGATGTACTGTCGCACGGAAGGCTGCTGCGTGTGTGGGGTCTGTCTACTGGAAGAGCACAAGAACCATGACGTCACCTCGCTGGAGGAGGAGCGCGCCCACAAGGAGGTGAGGTGGGAGGAGGTGGGGGACTCTCAGTTCTCGGGGTCTTTCATGTTTCCTTGGAAGAAAATCAAGCAGCTGGCCAGGCGCGGTGGCTCACGCCTGTAATCCCAGCACTGTGGGAGGCCGAGATGGGTGGATCACAAGGTCAGGAGTTCAAGACGAGCCTGGCCAAGATGGTGAAACCCCATCTCTATTAAAAAAAAAAAAAAAAAAAAAAAAAAAAAAAAAAAAAAAAAAAAAAAAAAAAAAAAAAAAAAAAAAAAAAAAAAAAAAAAAAAANAAAACTCAATGACTGCCACATAGGGGAACCCACGTAGTATCCCTGTGAGCTTGTAAAATCATCAGGCATGCCTCTGAGTGCGGCCGTGGCCCCGTGGGCATCTTGTGTCTATGTCCAGCTGGCTCTGCAGGGGTTGGGGTGGCCTGTGTGTTTCCTCTTCAGGACCCCATAACCTTCCTTCACTCTCCGTCCCAGAGGCCAGCCTCACCAAGGTGCCCCCCTCCTCCCTGGTCCAGGAGCGCTCCTTCTTTGTCCGAATGAAATCCACGCTCACCAAGAGGGGGCTGCACGTCAAGGCCTCGGGGTACAAGGTGGGTGTGAGCAGTCAGGCTCCTGCGTTCTAGCCAGCCATGTCCCCGACCTGAGGGTGATGGAGGGAACCAGGATGGTGGCTTCACTGGCTCAGATGGCTTAGGGAACCAGGTTGGAGGGAGGGTCACACACTGCCCAGTCAGTTCCCCAGCACCTGTGGGTGACAGATGGAAGCCTGCCCAGTGCCCTGGTGATGATCCTCTTGCCCCTAACGGCCTGCCCTGCCCCTCCTCCAAACATGCCCACCACCAGCAGGTCATCCACGTGACTGGGCGCCTTCGGGCCCACGCACTGGGCCTTGTGGCCCTCGGGCACACGTTGCCCCCAGCTCCCCTGGCTGAGCTGCCACTCCACGGACACATGATCGTCTTCCGTCTCAGCCTGGGTCTCACCATCCTTGCTTGTGAGAGCAGGTACCGGGGTTGGGGGCTGTGGCGGGCAGATGGGGACACTGGAGATCTGGGGTACATGGGAAGTTGAGGGGGTGCTGGGTCTGCTGGCTAGGACACCGGGAAGCCATGGAAGGCAGAAGAGCAGTGGAGGGGCAGGGTGATGGGGAGACAGGAAGGGGAGGCAGGGGACCAGGGTAGAGGCCTGGCCCAGCGGTCCCTTGGAGGATGGGAGGGCCTGTGTCCTGGGTCCAGGCCTCCTTGGCGGCTGCAGAGCTCTGCCTGTCTCAGCCCGTTTCCTCTCCTGTACCCCGCAGTGGAGACGGATTAAGTGGTGAAACAGTGCCACGCTCTGACGCCTTGCCACTCACCATCTACGTGAATGCTCACAGCTACCCCAGGAGGGACATTGTTTTATGGTTTTTTGTTTTGTTTTTGTTGGAGAGTTTTGCTCTTGTTGCCCAGGCTGGAGTGCAGTGGCGCAATCTCGGCTCACTGCAACCTCACCTCCTGGGTTGAAGCAATTCTTCCAACTCAGCCTCCCAAGTACCTGAGACTACAGGTGGCCACCACCATGCCTGGCTAATTTTTATTATTTTTAGTAGAGATGGGGTTTTGCCATGTTGGGCAGGCTGGTCTCGGACTCCTGACCTCAGGTGATCCACATGCTCCGGCCTCCCAAAGTGCTGGGATTACAGCAGGCCTGAACCACTGTGCCCAGCCATTTTTTTTTTTTTTTTTTTTTTTTTTTTTTGCTACTCTGAGTGTTTCTGTGACTGTATTTTTTAATAGTGGAATTCTTATATTTTAGATTTCCTATCATGTATATTCCATTAACAGTGCTAATCTAACATAGCCTGTCAGTGGTTCATAGCAAGATAAGGAACTTGTGCCAGAACATAAACCAACTTCACTAAGCAGAATTAGTTTGGTTGACATTTTTTTCTTTTCTTTATGTGTGTGTGTGTGTGTGTGTGTGTGTGTGTGTGCGCGTGTTTCCGTGTCAGTATACAGCTAGTGCTCGACTTACAACCACGATTGGTTCCGACAGACCAGTCGTAACACAATTTGGTCGTAAGTTGAGTAGGCTATATGTACAGTACTGTGAAATGATGTTATAAAAATCTTTAAGTCATATTTTATCATAATTTTCTTTGTTCATTTTATGCCATTTGTGTCATCTCTACACCATTTTGTTTCTTATTTTTACATTCGTCAGGTTTAAGTAAAACACTGCATTACCTGTACAACTGGTTTAATATTTGTAAAACATACAAAATTACAAAATACACGTGCATACAAAAATACAAAATACAGGTGTAAAAAATACCATAGGAAACATTTTCCCAGTTGCAAAACATATCAAAATATATAAACATGTACGAAACATTTTATTGGCCGCTGGTGCTTGGCTGCGGATCGTTGATGTCGTCATCTGAGGCAGCAGTTGGGGTTACCGGAGTTGGTTTTTTCATAAACATGGTGAGCTTTGTCTGAATTGTATGTTTCTTTTTTTCTTCATAAATTTCACAATACGGACGAAACACATCGTGGGCCATCCGTTCAATCCTTGCAAATCGTTCGATGTTTGGGTCCATTGCTTCGACATGTATAAGAAGTTTATTGGGAGGGGTTTGATGAAAAATATCCAAAACACAAATTGCTGTACCGAGTCTGGGATAACAGTTGAAATGGTGCACGCAGAGATGGTAGTGCTGCCGGAAGCTGGTCCGCACAGTCATACGCCCAGCTGGGCAACGTTTGCGCTGCCAGACGCCGAGCAGTCATGGCTGGCAATTGTGGTCGTAAAGTCGAATGGTCATAAATTGCATAGGTCGTAAGTCGATCGATACCTGTATTGCTCTGTCGCCCAGGCTGGAGTACAGTGGCTCGATCTCTCCTCACTGCAACCTCTGCCTCCCAGGTTCAAGCAATTCTCCTGCCTCAGCCTCCCGAGTAACTGGGATCACAGGCACGCATCACCACACCTGGCTAATTTTTGTATTTTTAGTAGAAATGGGGCTTCATGTTGGCCAGGCTGGTCTCAAACTCCTAACCTCGTGATCTGCCTGCCTCAGCCTCCCAAAGTGTTGGGATTACAGGCATGAGCCACTGCGTCCGGCTGACATGTTTTTCTTTTTTCTTTTCTGTTTTTTTGAGATGGAGTCTCGCTCCTTTGCCCAGGCCAGAGGGCAGTGGCGTGATCTGGGCTCACTGCAATCTCCAGCTCCTGACTTCAAGCGATTCTCCTGCCTCAGCCTCCTGAGTAGCTGGGATTATAGGCACGTGTCACCACGCCTGGCCTAATTTTTGTATTATTAGTAGAGACGGGGTTTCATCATGTTGGCCAGGCTGGTCTCAAACCCCTACCCTCGTGATCCACCTGCCTCGGGCTCCCAAAGTGCTGGATTGCCCCTGCCGACACTTTTTACATTGCAAGATGTTATAAAACAGCTGGGCGTGGTGACTCACTCCTGTAATCCCAGCACTGTGGGAGGCCAAGGCAGGAGAATCACTTGAGTTCAGGAGTTTGAGACCAGCCTTGGCAACATGGCAAGACTCCATCTCTACAAAAAGTAGAAAAATTAGCCTGGCGTGGTGGTCAGGAGGCTGAGGTGGAAAGATGGCTTGAGCCGGGGAGGCGGACGTGTCAGTGAGCTGAGATTGCACCACTGTGCTCCAGCCTGGGAGACAAAGCGAGACTCTGATTTAAAAAAAAAAAAAAAAAAAAGACTTTTGTCAGTGAAGGACAGACTACATTGATTACCCTGATTTACAACCTGGCGTGAACTTCTTATTTTGCTAAGGACCAGCAGTGGTTCATGGACAGCACTTGGAATCGCACTGTTTTATAACAGTGAAAATGCCTGTTGCTGGAATAGGTGGAGACTAAGGGCTTATGTGGGGCTTGGGCCTGGCAGCACTGCCCCAGGGAGCCCACATGGCCGTGTACCTGCTAAGCCCCTCCTGGCCCCACCACCTCCCGAGCTCTCCAAGACCCTTTCCTATGGCCTGAAACTCTATGATTATCACGTTAGGAGAAAATAACCTGATTCCTTCAAACAGAGACGGGCGCTCAGGGGGGCGAGAGCAGCCCTCCAAGCAGAGGGCTGGACTGTGGGCCATCCAGCACTGCTCTCTCATTGTCATTGAAGCTGAGCAGATGAATGCACAAGGTATGTCTCTTCTGGGCTCAGACGTGGGCTTATCTGCAGAAGGGCTTCTCCAAGGCCACCTCTCTAAATCAGGGGCCCCTCCTCCTCTCCCCCCTACCCCCCACCCCAGGTCGAGGTTCAAAAAGTCCAGGACACTGTGGAGAACCAGATGCTGATCATCACTGCTGACAGCCGGAAGCACCAGGGCCGGGTGGCCTTTCTCTCGGTAAGGTTGGCCCACCCCACTGCAGGCCCAGGCTTCCCCAGCACCCTGCATTGGGCTGCAGAGACCTCTTAGGACTTGGAGTGGATGGCATGGGACCAGGCAGGCAGAGACAGGACGCCTAGGCAGGCTCCGGGCTGTGACAGTGGGGGTGCTGGACTGGAACTCACAGACGCCTCTCTACATACGCCCCAACCCCCAGAAACTGATCCAGACAATGAGACATGAGGTGAACACCTGCTTCTCGGAGATCATCCAGGAGGTCAAACGGCTGCAGGTGAGGATCTTGGATTTCATGGAGAAGGAGGAGGCAGCCGCCCTGGAGAAGCTGAGCAGCTCCATACAGCAGAGCCACAACCGGCTCCAGAAGCTGAAGGGAGACAGCATCTGGCTCCACACCCTGCTCATCAACCAGAGCAACCAGCAGTTTCTGCAGGCAAGGTCCCACCCTGCAACCTCTGGCTCAGGCCCCATCACAGCCTCCACTCTCCCTCCACCCACAAACACCAGATCTCGGCCGGGCATGGTGACTGACACCTGTAATCCCAGCACTTTGGGAGGCTGAGGTGGGCAGATCACCTGAGGTCAGGAGTTCAAGACCAGCCTAGCCAACATGGTGAAACCCTGTCTCTACTAAAATAAAAAATTAGCTAGGCATGGTGGCAGGTGCCTGTAATCCCAGCTACTCGGGAGGCTGAGGCAGGAGAATCACTTGAACCCGGGAGGCAGAGGTTGCAGTGGGCCAAGATTGTGCTATTACACTCCAGCCTGGGCAACAAGAGTGAAACTCAGACTCAAAAAAAAAAAAAAAAACCACACACACATACACACCAGATCTGGCCCAGACCTTGGATGAGGGATCAGCCTTCAGGGTACATCACTGTGTCCATCCCCTGCCTTAGGGAGCCCCCCCATTCCAGGCCATCTGTCTTGGGCTTGCACCAACACCCTTGTCTTTCTCCACTTCAGCGTTCAGCCTTACCCCAACTTTCTTGCCTTGGTTTCCCTGGACCACATGGGATTCCAGGCATCTGACACAGTCTAAGTTTCTTCAGATTTCCCTGGATAACAGCTGAAAGTGAGGCCAGAACAATCTCTATAGCCTGGATTGAAACCCCTTTTCCAGCCCAGGAGGTGGAGGTTGTAGGGAGCCAGGATTGCACCACTGGACTGCAGCCTGGGCAACAAACGAAGACCCTGTCTCAAAAAAAGAAAAAAGAATTGTGAAATGCCTTTTCCTTGCCCAGTCCTGGTCTGGCCCCAAAGCCTGGAATGCTGCTACTGTAAGTAGCAGGTGGGGCCGAGCAGCAGTTTTTGGATGAGGCCTGGAGCTGCCCAGAACCTGTGGTGGTTGGGAACTGCAGCTTCCTTTCTTTTTTTTTTTTTTTTGAGACGGAGCCTCGCTCTTATTGCCCAGGCTGGAATGCAACGGCACGATCTCAGTTCACCACAACCTCTGCCTCCCAGGTTCAAGTGATTCCCTGCCTCAGCCTCTCAAGTAGCTGGGATTACAGGCATGCGCCACCACACCCACCCAGCTAATTTTGCATTTTCAGTAGAGACTAGATTTCTCCATGTTGGTCAGGCTGGTCTCGAACTCCCAACCTCAGGTGATCCGCCTGCCTTGGCATCTCAAAGTGCTGGGATTACAGGCATGAGCCACTGCGCCCAGCCCCAGCTTCCTTTCTTAAGCTGCCAACACACCCTGGGCAGACGTCTAGGGCGACTGCTCACCTTATCCCCTGCACGCAATAGGAAGCATTTGGCAATGGCTTTTACTAAGCAGTTCAAGGCGCAGCAGAAATCCTCCCATCATTTTCTGAAAATCTCCTTTGCCTAATAATGCACAAAAGGCCACAGTGCCCAAGCCCTTGGCAAAGCCCTGACCTCTGATGTCCAAACAGCTGGGAGGAGGGAAAGGAGATGCCAGGTTTGAAGAGGGGGAACTTCCACTCCACCAGTCCATGGTTTGGGGGGCCTCTGGGCCCCTGGCATCTGCCTAGGCTCTGGCTAACAGGTGGTACCTCTGGCACCTCCCTGCATCCAGGAGTTCCCCAGGCTGAAGCAATTCTCAGCCCACATGGAACCCCTTATGGGCATCAACTGTGAGGAAATGCAGAGCTTCTCCCAGCTGCCAGAGACCCTGGCTGAGCTCCGGACCCGGATGCTGGACGTGGGCCTCAGCTTCCTCAACCAGCTCCTTCTGAAGGGTGAGTCCCTGGCAGCCTGGGGCCTGCATTTCAGGGGCTGGTATGGCCCTGCAGGGCAGTGGTTGGGGTTCTGGGCACTGGGAGAGCCCTGCCTGCTGTGTACACCATCCCCAGGTGCAACAGCCCCCTGGATGCCCATGCCTCTCTCCAGGAGGATATGGGGCTATGAGAATGTCCTCAGCAAAGCCCCTCCATCTCCCCTAGGCATTAAGATGAGCTCCTATGAGGTGCTGCCCACAGCTGTGGACAGGAAGACCCTCCTCAAGTGTGAGTCGTGGGTCCTGGGATCTACCCTCCAGGATGGGAAGGAAAGGAGCAGGGTCCTGGGTGCCTCATCTTCCCCAGCCCCTCCTCTACTCAGGCCAGGGCCTCCAAGGAGCTGCCAACTCTCTCTTGTCCTGACCTCTCCCTTGGGACTGGAGACCTCAGAAGGACTTGGTCTCAACCTCAGGCCCCTGGTAGGAAAAGGAGGAGATGCTGTCCCATCCTACCCCCAAGGGTGAAGCAAGGACTCACTTCCACCCCAGCGGCTCCTTGGCCCATGTGTGGCACAACCCCTGCCCTCAGTCAGATGCCTGCCAACCTCCCTTGGGCTTCACCCAAGTCAGCTTGGATGAGCTCTGTCCTTTTTTTTTTTTTTTTTTTT